TACCGCGTTTTGAACTCCGATTCAATCCGCCGTGTTCAACATTCGCGTCGTCTCTCATTTTCATTCCTCGCTTCACCGTTGTCACCTCGATCTCATGGAATCATTCCCTTGCCTCTCGCCAGGAGCTTTTCAGTTCCATACTCACGCGCCGGCTCGCGTGCGGGCTCGTCTGTACTCCGTGGCTTGACTTATGCAGGGCGTCGCGGGCGACCTCTCTGGGTACGTTCGAGTCACTCCATTCATGGCTGTTCGCCCGTGAAGTCTCATGACGACAGGTTCTTATGACGGCTGCGGCGTGTTCTCCGGATCCTCGTCACTCCATTGACCGGGTTCTGTTCAACACCGCGGATACAACATGTGCTGAATGAAGTGCTGGTCTACCATCAGCTCATGTGTGCACCGAGCTTTGTACGCGTGCTGTGTAAGGTGAATACAATCAGTTTGGACGAATTCTGCATGACATCCATTGATTTATAGGTTGGCCGTGATGTGGGATATAAAACACTACTTCCTGCTTGCATGGGTGTATGCGAAACTCCAGACCTGGTTGGATAGGTATGTACTCAATATTGTGGAGCTATTTCTATTTCTGTTGTCTCTGATGGTGTGCCTTGCCGTTCCCACTGTGAGTCTGCACCTTCACTGTCCCCGGCACTTTTCCCGATGAGTCGTATGCATGCCTGCACCTTGTGCGTGGCCTTGCCCTTGGCCGAATATCTACCCCGTGTCTGCCTGGAGTAAGTTGTCGCTCCTTCCTGGTTATGGTGGTGGCTGATGATGCTGTATAGCAGGCCATATTTTCTCATGCCTGGATCTGCATCCAGGTGGTGTCATATACAGGTGTGTTCTGATGACTGAATGATCTGCTGTACCTATGCATTGTCGGTGTCTTCTCTTATGCTGATCTGCCATTGGAAGCTTTCCTGGCTGGCTTTGGGGGAAGGGAGGGGGAGGGTAGAAGTGATAGGCTGATGTGGGCAGAGAAATTGTATTTACATACCTGTCTCTAGCTACATTGTGAATATATCTCCATGCTCTTTGTGCTATCCTGGAAATGGTGTGATATGCTTGCAACATAACTGCCATCTAACAAGATGAGATGATGTTGTCTGATTGGCAATAATTATGTCTAATTAGCTAGGGGACAAACCTAACTTGTATAATTAGATAGAACTGCATAATGCAGCTAATCCTGCATAATTATGCGGGATTAGACATGATTAGACATAATTAGCTTAGGAGGGTTTTCCTGATGTATTTAGACAAACTGACACCTGCTACCCTCAGTCATTCTTCTTCAGCGATGGTGCTGCAGTCTGTGTTCTGCAATCTTTCGCTAACAGTCCTCCCTTGTCGTCTTCGCCTACCAGTGCTACGTCGCGTGCGGCTGCGAATGCCCTCGGAAGGGCCTTGAGTATCGCATCGAAGAAGCTGTTTGGTGGGAACGGGTTAGCGACGTCTCGCACGTCGCAGGACTATTCGCCGTCCACTTCTTCTCCGCGGCGGCAGGAGATCATCCCGGCGCGAAGTCCTGATGATGGTGGCGTACGCGACCCTCTGGAGGAGATGATCCTATCACACTTCGATGATCTCGTGCAGAAAGACAGATGTTCTGACTAGGTGGGTAGACGGGCTTTACGAATATGTGAATGCTGTTCCTCAGAGTAACTGCGGCTTTTATATTACCATTGCTTCGGATCTTACCCAGGACAAAGTAGAGCCATGACCGAACCCTAACAAAGTGAAACGTAAGGCAAGAATGCAGCTAAACAGAGCAACACGGACCTCGAAGCTGACAACAACGCCATCACAGGCATTGCTGCCTACATGCTGGTCATGTCGTTCTCGCAGAAGGGCATTGACCAGCTGCGCAACCACCAAGAGTATGTGAAGATGCGGGATCCGGACGAGGAGACCTTGGTTAGCGAGGGATTTTTAGAAGGTGGGAGACAGCCCATTTCTGTCGTGTCTGGCCATGTCGCTCACTTGCATTTTCCACAGTTCTAATGTAGTTCAAGGATAGTATCATCCGATGTAATGACCGTGCTACGCTCGCGAAGACATGACTGCTGTTGTACACTTCGCAGGATGATCTACTGCAGAGCGGGAGGCCCTTCAAGTTGGCTGAAGAGGTTCGGGCGACTGTGGGGACGTGTACGTGTCGCTTATCTCCTCTGTTCTGAGGTCTTCATCATCCCCTAATTAGAGAGCCTGAGCGGTCGATTCCAAAAGTGTAAAAGTAAGTTTGTGCTTGAGCGTAGACTACGTAGTAAAGCATTAATTGGCTTCGGGTCTTATAAGCATGATCATACCTGCGCGTGGTATCACAGGCTCCTAGAACCATCCGTCTCGCGTCCTCGATCCTCTCTGCTAGGGCGTGTGTGAAGATGTTATCTAATATGGCTTATATAATGTAATTTATTTATAGCTGTATTTCCTGATTAAGCCGAACAGTGAGGATGAGGACGCTATGAGACGGCTGGCCCAACTCGTCGTCCGAGGTTTCACCGGAATTATGTAAGGTAGCTAAGCGACTAACGACGCGTCGGTTTACTGTTGGTTTATTGACGTTCGTCGACTGCCCGATTCGGATTGAGGCGTTGATAAGCCTCAGGATCGTCTGACCCCCGAAAACGCGGATTCAGCACATCATACAAGTGCCCCGGAGCTTATTCGACACAGCGCTGATATGCACTGACACACAACAATCACCAAGGACCAAAGGAAATAAACCTAAACCCCGTGATATGGGTGAAGGCGGTCCGAGACAACTGAAGGGTATTTAATAGTTCGAGGGGGAAAGGAGGAGTAAGACGCCGTAGGGTAGTCCGTAGGAAGACCTAGAAAAATAAAACAAAACCTTGACGCCTGAAACAAACACTAAGGGACACTCCGGAGTATTTATCTCCGGAAAGTCGCAGACAAAGTCGCAGACAAAGTCGCAAACCACGAAACCGAGTGTAGGTTCGGGCCTACGGGAGTAGAAATTGCTAGAGAAACTTGGTTAATTTTATTTCGCTATGTGAGACTCACCGGAGCTAATTGGATCGATGGCGGGGATAATTCACTCGACGAGTCAGGCCTATTGGCAAAGCTAAGATCGGTTATAATTCGCTAAGTTCGACGCTTTCGAACTTCTCGGGTCGCTGAGATCGTAACTCTAATTCTCTGAGATGGTGAAGTCGAAACTTATTTTTCTGTATGCTACTTTGTACAATTTATACTACAGGAATGGCTTTGCGACCGTCCGGAGATAAATAACAAATAAACGCCGCTACCCACAGGATTGCTCAGCACTTTCCTCTGCTATACCATATACCATACGACTCTCTTGCGCTCCCACTTGCTCTTTCCAGCCCCTATAGGTCGCCTCGACGCTTTGCCACCTGACCCAAGCGGTCCCATCACTCCGTGCGACACGCCGGTCACGTGTTAATTACCTCCGGCCGTTTG